CTTTGTTCAAAAAATCTGCAGAACGATGAATAATCGATTTTCAAGTTGATAATCGATTATCCATCGTCTTCTACCTCGAGCCAACTTGCGGAAATGTCACTTTTACTCACCAAACTTCAATTAAAGTATATAAAAATGTTCTCCAAGGTTCATGGATCATTTTAGCATCATTAATTCATAATTTTAACATCAATTTCATGGTTTATGATTCTTAGTTCTCCAAGCATGTCAAACACAAAACTCAACCAAATGACCATCTATGAACGTAGAATCGATCTATATGAGCATTCTATTCATTAGATATATCTACGGGCTTACCTTGAAGCGTAAGGGAGGTTTTGAAGATTTTCCGGTGAAACTTCCGGCGACTCTATCTCACTGCTTCGGCGACCTCACACAAACTTCCGGCACCACTGGACTCTACTCTCAGCAAGGAACAATATAGAAGGAAGAATGAGTTGTTTTGGTGATGAAATGAGGGAGTTGGGTTGTTCTTAAATAGCCCAGGGAAGAAGAAGAAGACACAGGTTTGCAGCTTCCGTGATTGAGCGACGAATTTGGAATCGGCGTAATTGAACAGGGCGCCGTTTGGTGTGTAGTCCCTGATTGGGACTAATTTTGGTCCCAGTTGGGGTACACTTTTTGTTCCAACTTTCTCCAAATTGAAATCCGGTTGAACCGTTGGGGTCAGACAGTCAAACTCTACACATTGATATAATTTTCATTATTTATTGACAAACTTTAGAATTTACTTATTTTTGGGTCCTTCTCAGTAATTAATTCATTATAAATTAATTAACTCTGATAGGCCTATTTTTGGGGCGTTACATTCACAGTTTTGATAATGTTCAGTTCATATCAACACATTTTATTCAATTCAGATATTATTCCGACAGTGCCCTTAAATTATTCTTAATCTAAGGCCAAATAATAACAATGCTCTTAGCTATTCTTAGTCTAAGGCCATATCATAGCAATGCTCTTAAAAAGGCAATTAGTTATCAGACACTTAAACTACCATTAGTTTAAGGCAATTGATTTCGGACACTTAACTATAGTCAGTTAAGGCAATTAATAATCAGACACTTAAACTATTATTAGTTTAAGGCAAATGATTTCGGACACTTAACTGTAGTCAGTTAAGCCAACAACAATATAGCAATTGATCAACGTTGGATCAGGGCATTCCCAAACGAGTGATCCTCTAGTTTGGTCTACGAATCCCATTTATACGTTTTTATCCAATTCATCAAATGTTCATGTTTTCATAAGTTTATTCTAATACAATATCTATTCTAGAGGTCTTCTAGAGTTCTAGATAGCCTTAACATCAATAAAGTAATGGGTATATCTTAGAGTTCTTCTAGATACCGATAATAATACAAATCGTTTAATAATTAAATATATTTATTTTACTCATGGTTCAATCATCAATAATCATTTTGATCAGTAAGTTCATCATTCATAATCATCCATAATAATCATTCATCATAATCATTAATCAACATAACAATTGATAACAAATAGCGGTCTAGTTTCGAGTGTTAACACCCGAACTTACCGTCATGCATCAAATAACATTTTTATTTGTTAAAAACATCATTTTTATTATAAAGAATCACCCTTAAAATAATCATAATCAATTGGTATCAAAAATAGGATTTTAGAGCCCAAAAATAGCATTTTCACACAAATTTTCGGGTCAGAATTTCGGGGGATCGATCCAGCCCTCTAGATCGACCCATATGTAAAGAAATTATGCCCACGTGATCGATCCACCCATTTGGATTGATCCAGACAGTCTGGTTTTTGGTTACTGTTCATCTTCTTCTTTGTTCGGGTCCAATTTCGAAAATACCGTTTTTAGTTACCGAACTTCAATTAAATTATATGGAAATGTTCTCCAAGGTTCATAGATCATTTTGACATCATTAATTCATAGTTTTAACATCACTTTCATACTTTATGATTCTTGGTTCTTCAAGTATGTCAAACACAAAATTCAACCAAATGACCGTTTATGAATGTAGAAACGATCTATATGAACATTCTAGTCACTAAATATATCTACGGGCTTACCTCGAAGCTTAATGGGGGTTTTGGAAATTTTCTGGTGAAACTTCCGGCGATGATAACTCCCGGCTCCAGCGACTTCAAGCTTTCTGGGCAACACCAATGAACTCTCCACTCAACAAGGAACACACTGATAGTAGTTTTGGCAAGTTTGGTGAGAAAATGGGAGGAAGAGATGTCTTTTTATAGGAGGAGAAGGAGGATGCTGCCAAGGTGAGTTGAGTCAGTGATGCGTATAATTTCCTTAGTGTGCAGGACGGCGATTCTCTAATATTTACACGCCGTTCCCTGATTGGAACCAATTTTGGTTCCAGTCGTGGTACACTTTGTGGTCCAACTTTCTACGAATTAAATTCCATTTGCACCGTTGCAATCGGGCAGTTAAACTCCATCCAATGATATAATTTTTATATTTATTTGTAACACTTATTCTGACATCATATTTTAGGGTGTTTGACTTTGACAGGGTCAAAATTGATTTAATTGACTTTTATCATAAAAGGTTCTCACATCTAATTCATATCATTTTTTCTGATGATTTATTTTAATAAATCATTTTAAAGTTCACATCATAAAGAATTTCTCCATTTATTCTTGATTTGGATCTGTACTCAGGTTCCCAATCAAGACCATACAATAAGTCAACATATTGGATTTATCTCTATGAGATTTATCCAGATTGTGATAATGGATATCAAAACATATTTCGTATCGGCCCAAAGCCCAACAACAATTTATTTTAATCAAAATAAATTTGTTTAATCGAATAATTATTTATTAATAATTCTAGGGTATGTTTTGGGGCGTTACACATACTATTTACCACTAGAAATAATCTAGATTTAAACTATCCAAAAATACCTTTTTGGTTATTAGTGTCGCCATCAAAATCGTCGCTCTTACGGATTTGAGCATATAATGTTTTACCATAAAGTCTCCAACATAATATCGTCCATAATATCCTTTTAATCATTAGACATCATTTAATCATGTTCATGGTTTGGATCATGTTAGGAACCCAAGTTTAACCCAAATAATATAGTACTATAATTCTTTTAGTCTTACTCGTCCGATGATATCTTTTGGTTACTAACACATATTGGAAAATATGATTTGACATACTCAATTTTGGTATTAGTGTTCTTATAGTCCAAAACATTCATTTTAAGTATTTTTGGAAGTTAAAATATAGTTATAAGTCAATCAAACCAATACCAACATTTATCATCCATACAATATCGAAAAACGGCTAAAATTTGAGTTGGAACGTCGGGTGATCGATCACCGAAGGGGTGATCGAATGAATTTTTGGTATTAGAGTTCTTCTAGTAAAAGACATTCATTTTTAGTGTTTTTGGAAGTTAAAACATGGTTATAAATCAATCAAACAAATACCAAAGATTTATCATCCATACGACATCGAAAAACGGTTCAAATCTGGTGTTGGAACGTTGGGTGATTGATCCCCGAAAGGGTGATCAACCCCGCGAATGATAAGAATACGCGTTTTAACAAAATTTACTCCAGAGGATCGATCCAGAGTCTTGGATCGATCCCCCGAACCTCAAAAACGAGTTCTTGGGCTCAATTCTATCATCGGGTGATCGATCCAGCCACATGGATCGATCCCCTGACGGTTCCTATGTGTTTTAGGGTCCGTTTTAAGCTACGAGATGATTCCAAAAGTGTATATATTGATTATATATAATATAATATGAATCCCCAAGTTGGTTAGGCATATTATAGAGACTTTTTGAGACAATTTCGAGCTTTCTCCAGTATCTATGATTCATGTATATCAAGTTAAGTGTTTTATCGTAACTATCGGTATAACTAACATAGAATGACATATAGGTATAGGAAATCATGTGTTATAAATGATTCTAAGGAATCTAACGTCGGAACGAGTCTGGGGTACATATCTAAGAGTTCGTAGGGGAAACAATGATCTTAACACCTTGCGTACGGTTAACGAACGGACGTCACTATCTACTTCTAGCTTTCCTTGTCTTGAGGTCTTCTCTTTGAACCTTGATATCGCAGAGGTTTATGGCGTAAGCAGAGCATTAAAATGAGTATAATAATGATAGGAATGGAACATACTCACTTACCTAGAATTTTCTTCCTCAAATTCCATTAATGGTGGAAAAAGCTTGGGGATGAAAGAGTGGAACTTGCAGGGATTTCTTAAGCCTCAAAATGTGATGAATGAAGAACACTTATGTACCATTATATGGAGAAGTGAAGGAGAGTGATGGTTAAGGCATCACAATCACAACCACCCAATCACTTCAACTACGTATAACCAAATAAGAGAGGTGGAGGTGGATGTCAATGTTGGCTACCCACTAAACAAGAATGTATGATGATGGGAAGGAGGTAATGGTGGGGAAGAAGGTAGGGAATCATGAGAATTATTTTGGGGGATGAATGTGGAATTTGGGATTAAATTCCTGTTTCGGAAGAAATAGTTTATCTATTTGAATTTCGGGTTATTTTCCGAATGGAGCCCGATTTTGAAACCGATCAGATTTTTGAACTTGGGAAAATAAATGGAACTCGAATACGTAATCAAAATATTTTTCCTAATATTTTATTTTTCAGGCCGGCGGGGCCCACACAGTCAAAATCGGTGATTTACACAGTAAATTCTTCTAGACCGGTTTTCGTGGCATTACAAAAACATTAAAATGTAAAAAAAAGTTCTATGTCTTTATTCAAAAAATAGGACTAACAATGAAAATAAAATGTCAATCATGAAAGAAAAAATAGGTTTGATTATATTATGTGACATGTCTCATATTTAACTTTTTTTTGTAATGTATAAAGTATAACTACAAATATATTATTTATAACAAATACTGCATAAAGAAACTGAGGTACAACGTAACCACAATTTTTTTTTTAAATTAAATATTTTTATATTTACGCTAGCTTTATATTATAATTATTTTTTGTAAAATTAATTTTTTGTATTTGAAAAATAACAATACTTTTTTTGTATTTGAAAAATAACAATACTTCTTTTTGTATCTTAAATGTATTCATTAAAATAATGTGATGATGATGATGATGATGATGATAATAATAATAATAATAATAACAATTTATAACAACAAGAATTTAAAATAAACTTTTTAAAAGTTTTTTAGGTTTTCCAATTTTTTGAAGTTTTTCTTGTTTCTTCCAATTCCTTCCAGTTTTTTTCCAGTTTCTTTTAGTTCCTTCTAGTTTATTCTAATTCCTTCTAGTTTTTTCCAATTTCTTCCAGTTCCTTCCAGTTTTTTCAAGTTCCTTCCAGTTTTTCCAGTTCTTTCCTGTTCTTTCCAGTTTCTTCCAACATCCAACTCTTTTTTTCGAGTTTTAAAGAACCTCTTAAAGTACTAAACACAACCAAAGTATAATAGTGTATATCACACCAAACAAATAATCATAACAAAGTGATTATACATTTCACATCATGAATGAATTATACATAATCAATCGAAGAAAATGAGTATCTATCCTTTCATTTTTCATAACAAATTGTTTAATAATCTAATAAACACACAAATTTTTAAAAAATTGACTATATTATACTATTATACCACTCAAATCATCTAAAATATTTTTTAAAATAAAAAATTACAAACACGAGTAAAGAATTCTATGGGCTACAAAAATCATATTAGTAAAAGAAACTGAAATACTTACTTGCAAAGAATCTGAGGCCTCAATCGAACTGCTCAAGAACCCTATTTTGTGATCCCTAAATCGAGGCTTTATTCAGTATGCATATAAGATTAGGCAGTAAGATTTCCTTCTAAAATTTTCATGGGTAAAAGAGGAGAATTGATCTCAAACGCTAAATTAAGGATAAGAACGCTGGAGGGTGAGAATTTTTTGCATTTAGCCGCACGGAAGAATCGGAAGAAGGAGAGAGATGAAAAACGCTGGAGGAAGATTTGGTAAAACAAATGTAAAATCTCCTAAAGGCAACGTTCAAACCTTTAAAAGCTAATACCAAACAAGTCCAAAAAACACGCATTATTTAAAAATTATTAATGACGGTTCAAAACTCACACATGCCGAAATGTGAAATTATTTGAGATGAAAGTGAAAAGTGAAACTAATTTTAAAAATGATTTAGGGTAAATTTCAGTAATAGTACCTGAACTTGCACTGGAATTTCGAAGTGGTAACTAAACTTTAAATCCTTTCACAAAAATCTCTGAACTCACATAATCCTTTCACTATAAGTCCATTTACCCCGTTTCCAGGTTTACTTCCGGTCATTTGGGCTACATTAGAATTTTATATATTTCAAAATTTTCAATTTAACCCAATTTCTTTTCTTCATCTTCTTCTTCCCCTACCCACTCCCTTCTTTTTCTACTTCTTTCACCCCTTTCTTCTTCTCCTTTTCTTCTTCTAGGTTGCAATGTTCTTGGCCTACTGCTCTGTCCGGTGGTGGAAGATCTTCACCCCCGACCAGTGCTCCGGCATCAACCGGTTCGTTGCCATCTTCGCCGTCCCTCTCCTCTCCTTCCACTTCAACTCCTTCAATAACCCGTACGCCATGAATTTCCGGTTCCTCGCGGCTGACAGACTGCATAAGACGATCATGCTAGTGGTGCTCTACCTCTGGGCAAATCTCACCCGAAATGGCAGCCTCGAATGGAGCATCACCATTTTCTCCCTCTCCACTCTCCCCAATACTCTGGTCATGGGGATTCCCCTGCTGATCGCCATGTACGGCTAGTATTCCGACAGCTTGATGGTCCAGGTGGTGGTGCTACAGTACATTATCTGGTATACTATGCTTTTATTCTTGTTCGAATACCGCGGCGCCAAGATGCTGATAATGGAGCAATTCCCGGAAAACGCCGCGGATATTGTGTCGTTTAAGGTGGAATCAGATGTGGTTTCTTTGGACGGGCAGGATTTTCTTGAGACCGACGCGAAAATTGGGAACGACGGGAAGCTCCACGTGACAGTGAGGAGATCCAATGCATCGCGGCGGTCCTTCGTGATGACGCCGCAGCCGTCGAACCTCACTGGCGCCGAGATTTACAGCCTGAGCTCGTCGAGGAACCAAAGTCGAGAGGGTCGAATTTCAACCACTCTGATTTCTACTCCATGATGGGTTTCCCGGGGAGGCTGTCGAACTTTGGGCCGGCGGAGACGACTCCACGGGCGTCGAATTTCGAGGAGCATTGTGCTCTGGGAGGACTGATGAACTCTCCTAGATTCGGGTTTTACCCGGCTCAATCCGCACCGGCTTCGTACCTGGAGCCGAACCCGGAAATAGCTGCTGCGGGGATAAAGAGTAACCAGAAACAGACGCCGGGGCAGCCGCAGCAGCCTCTGCCGCCGCCGTTGTGGCGGTGGTGAAGAAGAAGAAAGGGGTGAAGAAGAAGAAAAAGAAGGGAGTGGGAAGGGGAAGAAGAAGAAAAAAAGAAATGAGGTCAAATTGAAAATTTTAAAATATATAAAATTCCAATTTAGCTCAAATGACCGGAAGTTAACCTAGAAACGAGTAAATGGACTTTTAGTGAAAAGATTATGTAAGTTCAAGGATTTTTGTGAAAGGATTTGAAGTTTAGGTACCGCTTCAAAATTTTAGTAAAATGCAGGTAGCATTACTGAAATTTACCCAAATGATTTAAGGGGGTGTTTGGTTAGGGGTAAGGGAATGGGGAAATGAGATTCACTAGTTCGCTTTGGTTTGTTTTTTAAAAAAATTCCTTACCTTTCCCAGCATTCCCCCTCTTATATTCCGTGTTTCCTCCCATTCCTTCTTCCAAACTTCTACGATTCTTCCTCGCCAGTCGCCTGCTCTGTTTCTTCCTCGCCAGTCGCCGCCACACACCCTGCTCGCCGGCAGCATCCGCCGCAGGTATGTTCTCCCCTCCCTTCCNNGATCCCCCACCCCCCTGCGATTCCCCCTCTCCCTGCGACCTCCCCCTACAGAAGTGTAAAGTGTAAAAATTGAGTTGAACTCGGAAACAATTTGGGAAACCCAACACGAGTTTGCCTAACACGGAATTGCTCCTCAAAACCCCTTCTTGAATCTCTCCTGCATATTCCATTCATGTGCAATTGTGTATGAACTCTTGCGCGAATCAAAGATATGCCTACGGCGGAGGATCTGTGGGAACGCTTAGTGGGTGCAGCACTCCGGGGGCGGAGGAACTGTATTGATGCTAGCTTGAGGCCAGTGGGAGGAATTGCTGCAAATGTTCCATCGTCACTTGCAAATAACCGGGACATAGATGACATATTGAGAGCCGCGGATGAAATTCAAGATGAAGATCCTAGTGTTTCGAGAATCTGTAAGTGATTATTTCCATTTTATGACCGTTTTTTAAGAAAACTTGAATTTAATCAATCTTTGAAACATGCCCCAATTGAAATGTTGAAATTTCTAAACATGTATGGGAAATGGGATTTACGGTTCGATGAGGATTTCCCCCCCTCCATGGTAGAACAACTGCTTGCTATTTCTAGACATTAAAAAATTTGCTTGAGAATTGAGACCGAGGGATTGTTAGAATCTGGAGGACTAAGGGATTTAAGATTTTAATCATTCTACTAGAAGAAGTTTTTTGTGTGTATAATAATAAGCTTTTAATAATTTCTAAGTAACTCGAGATTTGCATTTGGTTGTTCCTTAAATGTCATAAGAGAATGTATACTCATAGTCTGAATGTGTTAAAAATAATATGATCCTAGCATTTGAGTGCTATTTCATTCAGATGTTTGACTAGATCTTTGGGGTTGAGGGTTTCTTTGAAACATATTTAATAATTCTTTTGACTCATTTTCACTCATAGACCAAAAAGCTTAACAAATTAGAAGCTACCCACTGCATGTGAAATGTTCATACTCATCGTGCTATCATTAATTTTAATTAGCAAGTGTTGACTAAAAGTGATGTGGAAAATTTGTCCAGTACCTAAACATATTGTAAACCTAATGGAAATATATTCTGCAGCTGATATTCAAACTCTCTCTTTCTCTCTCTCTATCTCTCTCTCTCTCTATGCAGTATGTGAGCATGCTTACTCTTTGGCTCAAAATCTGGACCCTAACAGTGAGGGTAGGGGTGTATTACAGTTTAAGACTGGGTTGATGTCTGTAATTAAGGTATATTCTTTATTTCACCATGGCAAATTTGTTTATATACAAGTTACAACTATGCACTTCTTTTTTTGGCAACATAAATTTTTGTTCTCCTTGCATTCACACAACCAAAAGGTATTGTGATCAATTCTTCCTTTCTATTTCACTTATGGCCCATCAAGTTTTTTCTTATTACTGATTTTGGGGCTTCAGTGTCCATTGCCAAGGGAGTTAATACATTCATTTGACAATGTTTTAGCTTAGGGTAACAACAGACTAATGAAAAGGGCACACTAAACTTTCTTCACTTCTTACTTTCTATAAAGTTTTTGACAGTTAGTTACTTTCTTTGTCATTGTTGTTCTACTGGTTTGGGGCTTCCTTCTTACAGGCTTTATATAGGACAATCATTTTGTGCTATTCTGGTCTGAGCAGAACAGAATTTGGATGAGCCAAAGGACTTATTATTGTAATGAAAAGTTTGTTTTTGATGATACTCACCTTACAATATTTTCAATCAATCATGACAGCTAAAACTAGCTAAACGGGAAGGTGGAACTATTGACAGAAGTCAAGACATTGTTCGCTTACTAGAATTCTACAGACTATATCGAGAGCGCCATAATGTGGATAAGCTTCGAGAAGAGGAGTTGACATTGAGAGAGTCAGGTGTTTTCAGCGGTAACCTTGGAGAGTATGTCTTATTCCAAGTTCTTTTATATATTGGTTTTCATCATGCCCTTTTCTCTCTGATTTTCTTTGTTTTCTTTCCTAGATCATGGGAATTTTTTTAGTAAAAGGTGCAAATATGAAGTAGCTTGATATACCCTTTCTGATGTATAATTTCCCTCACCTAGTTTGGATGGATGGTCTCTTTGGAAATGCTTGATACCTTTCCCTTCCATTGGTAGTTAGTATTCCTGCTGCCAATCTTTATCATTTCTACCATGCTTATGATTTTTAAACCTAACATTGTTAGTTTGTTACTATTGTGGCATTTTATTTACTATATACTTGTATAAATGTTTCAAGGATGGACTAGGAGAAAATAGAACGCAGTTGAATTGTCTATCTGTGTATCTATTTTAAACCAACCATTGATTGATTATCTTATAGTGTTGTGAATTTAGATGTTATCTATGAAAGTTCACGGGGTTTTGGTATCCCATCATGTCACCCTTGATCAACATGATTGACAAAAGAAAGGGCCACATTATTATTTTTAATTATGTCATGCAATCAAGGGTGAGATGAAGAGAAGGGTACTAGAACCCCTTGACTTTTAATAGGTACCATTAAGTTACAAGAATATAAAATCTCTGTCATAAAAGCCCTCTATATTTGTTTATTTTTACTACTATTCTAGTTTGAATTTGAATTAGGTTGGAGCGGAAGACCATTAAGAGGAAAAAGGTTCAAGGAACCCTGAAGGTTCTGGGAACAGTCCTAGAACAGCTGAGTAAGGAGCTTCCACATGAAGAAGCTGAAAGATTAATACCGCGAGAGGTTTACTAGCTTTTTAACGAAACTGTTAATTCCTGTCCTAGGGGATTTGTTTGTTTGTTCTCTCTCTTTCTCTCTCCAGATTTTGTTAGTTTTTAATATCATGCAATTATTGCATGTTTTCTTGTAAATTGACAATGACTAATGTTTCAAGATTCTGCATAATCTCTTAAATTTTCGTTACTGTGCTATAACATGCAAAACCTGTTAGCACAAAGGCAGACGAGTCCAATTTGATGAATGTAAACTAAAAAAAACCCGAAGGCAGCCAAGTCCAATTTGATGCATGTCAACCAAAAAAATGTAAAGTTATATTTAATTACCCCCTCCATCCCTAAAGGAACTTGACGTTGTCAAATTTGGTGTAGAAATTAAAAATAAAACTCATGTATTTAAAAGCTACGTGAAAAGATCTATAAAAGGAGGTGACATGATTTGATTATTTTGTCAAATGATCAACACAAATAGGTGATGAAAGAGGATATAATTTGACCTTTTTGAATTAAAAAAGTAAAGATCTTTTTGGGATGGAGTATTATCCCTAAACGGTACGTTTCTTTTGACACCAAGCTTCGGCGTTGTATTATGACAACATGACCATTTGGGGGCCTATGGTGCTCCATTGGGCCCAAACTAGCTCCTATCCACTACACCCCCGGAAAATCCCCACCCCCACCCTCCCCAGTGCCCACTGTTCTTCACAGGTGTTGAAACCTGTCCCCCCTGGGCGACCAGCATCTCCACCCCGTACCCTGCATGCTTGCACTCCTGACCCATCCTTGAATTTAATATATCATACTGAAAGTAGTCAAGTTCATCTTATTTGTAGTTGAATTTTATGTTTTCTCAATTCAAGTGGCATTTGCACAATTGCACTGCATTCAAATGGTGATATGTGATGTGGTAAAGGAGCGAGGAAGTTCATTAGCTAGTTCCTTTCATGTTTTTTTCTTCAATGCCTCATCTGCTGTTTGAGTAAATTATTGTGAAACTTTTTAGTCCGATTCATTTCAAGGGAGCATGATCTTGCATGAATTTTTACCGAAAGGTTCTGCATGGATATATGTTTTATTTTCTAGTTACTTCTAAAGATTCTTTAATCTCTGATTCTCTGAAAACTAACTCATTTTGTCTTGACTGCTCTTTGATCAGTTGAAAAATATGATGGAATCTGATGCAGCCATGATCGAGGATCTGACTTATAATATTATTCCTTTTGATGTCACTACGACAACAAATTTTATTGTTTCTTTCCCGGAGGTTGGCCATACTTATTGTTTGTGCATTTGTTTTATGTTTTTTTCAATATTCTCAACTATTGCTTATGACATTGGGTTTTGATTGATTTGATAATATTCTAGGTTCGTGCTGCCACTTCAGCTTTGAAGTACTTCAATGGTCTGCCAAACTTGCCCAGAACGTTCTCCATACCAACAAGGAGTGCAGATATATTTGATTTCCTGCATTTTACATTTGGATTTCAGGCATGCATTACTTCTCTGTTCCTCATAATAATTGCATTCTGAACTGCAACTTGAAGCTGTCCAAGTAATCTGGATCCAGCATACATAGATATTTTTTTAATGCACAATTATTCTTGGTGTTTAACATACAACTTAACCCATAACCATTTTTGTTAGTGAAGACTTCTTATTGCATTTCTACAATTAACTTAAACAAGGGCTATACATTTGTAATTCTTACGATGACCACAACATCCAAGCCTTAATATGTGACAAATGGGGCAACTACCATGAGCTAATAGAAATTCTCTCACAAGGTCATCTACCAATATCTTCTCTTTATTTTTCTTGTTACCATCATTGTGCCCAAACTCTATGATGCCCCCTTTTCCCTTCATTAACGCTTATGATGACATGATTGCAAGTCAATGAAAATATGGTATTTGGGCACATGAATTGCTGAATGTAGCTTATCATGAGAGGTTCACTTTTTTTTAGACCAATATTTAAAAACTTGAATTGAAAATAACTTACATCATAATCCAAAATGGGAAGGTTAAATAGGGACGGAGGGAGTATAAAAAAGGTTCACAAAGTACGCTATGGATGAGGTTTCTTACATTTGTTTAGGCTTCTTCTTCCATAACTTTATGAGTGTGCTCTTTCTAGTATGTTTAAAATATCTTTGTCATGAGTATAAATGATTTGCTGTTTGTAGATTCTATTTGATCATTTCTTTATAATATGCTCTTTGATGTTTTTGTTTGTGTTTTATGCATGTAGTTTCTTTCCTTGTTCGTTAAACTTCATTCTTTTTTCCCTTTTTTCTTCTCCCTTT